ATGTCAGGGGTTTAAGTGGAGAGAAAATGTTTTGAGAATGAAGTACAAATGCGCTTTACACAATTGATGTGTGTATGGATTGAGATAACAGTTGTATGAGCCCCTAATAAAATGTTTAAAAAAGAAAAAAAACAACGAAAATTTAAACTATTAAAAAAAAAAAAAGAAGAAACCATCAACTATTTGTTGATCTAGAATGGAGTCAAGAGGGCTTTCGGCTAACCACTTACTGCTAACATCTAGCTGGAGTGGTGTTTTACCTATTAATAAATTTTAACACTACTGCTAATGCATTGATTCTGATTCAGTGATCCTATTGCCAACTGTAATATTAAATAAAGATTTACAGGCATGGATACAGCCTCCAGTGATTTCTTTTTACACTTATTCCCACTCATACTCAGAAAAAGACTATACCTAAGTGCATTTCTGTGTCAGGTTTTAGGATTTGCCATTAACCTGTCTTAAATGTCCTATAACAGAAATACATGCCACTCTAAGAAATGCGATAAAGTATTTCAATAAAAGATGAACAGACTTAAAAAACATATTAAGTTTTCTTACTTTTACAGTACAGTATTTTTCCCAAAGCTCTGAAGAGAAAGAGAGAAACATCCTTGCCGCCAATAGCTTGGACGTCTTGATTTCCCACTGCTTGGTCAAGTTTTTCCTTCTGTTTCCATTTGCATAGCGCAGGATCTGATTTTAATGATGACAATCCTTTTTTCCTTAGCCATAGATTGTTCTCTCCTAAACAACATACACCCATGAATATTAAAACTAAGAATGTTTCCAATACTGCTACACTCCATATTCTAGTAAAAACGTATTCTCCATATACAACGATGAAGCCACGTGAGCCAGTAAGTTTGGGGGTCCCTAGGGCATAACATCATCCACAATACAAGGCTCTACACCCTGTTTTGATGCATACTGCCTGGGGTCTTAAAACTTTGTGAGTGGCCATCTCAGGCAACGACTGGTCTACCCATCATAGCAAAAAAGAGGGAAGAAAGTAAGACCCATGCCAATAATTAATCCAGCGGACTAACGGATCAGCTTCCAAGACCCTGGGGCTAGACAAACTAGATAATGTCCACTCTCTAACATAGTCTATCGCTTTGATTCCTTAGTGCTATTTGCAAAGCACTGCTTTGGACGTTATGCAAACTTACCGTCACAAGAACCCTATGGAAGAGAAGGATTATTATATACACGAAAGACATTAGATAAAAAGAGATTAAGTAACTGGCTCAAGGTCACCAGCTAAGAAGTGATTGGCATCCATATTACTCTTCTTTTGATTTTAGTAGTGTCTACTTTCTGAATATACCTGTGTTCAACTTTCAATTCTACGGCTACTGTATACAACATAAAATGTGTTCCAAGAGGAAGCAGTCTAGTGTATCTGGAAGGATACAGGATCTGGATTTGAATCCTAGTATCAACTCATTAGGCAGCTCAGAGAATGAAATTAAAACCTATATAACTGTAATACAACTTCTGTGCTCACTCAAGAATGATCACTTTCTTCCCTTCAAGATCCTTGCACCCAGAGAAATTATGTAATAAATGTCAGTTAGAATCCCAACACGGCCTACTTCAGCATCCCTAACCCATAATTCCAGTAATTGAGCTTACGTACTTCTTACGTTACTCTTCACAGGAATAAGCAGAATTCTGATTTCAGCTGTTAGTCTGGCTAGTCTTCTAGTTATGTTGAAAAACCAGGATGCAAATTAAACAAATAGGCTCATTTCTGAGTAGAAACACTAGGATTTCAGGTGGGTTGTGGGAGCTCCAAAGATGGCTCTTCTCCCCTTTTTTCCCCTGCAGATGGCTCTTGATTCTGTAAGGCCAGTTCTTCAATGGTAAGTATCAAGCAGGCAGCTTGCTAATACTTTCTGATAAGGACGGTGTACAGTAAACTGAGATCATTAGTGGACTACTACTATTACCTCATGTTTATTAGCTAAGAGTGTAGTGGTTATGAATTGAGCTGCTAACCACAAGGTCAGCAGTTCAAAAACACAAGCGGGCTCATGGCAGAAAGATTACATTATAGTTCTACTTTCTGTTATGCCACATAGTTACCATCTCAGAAAATAACCAGGGCAGCTTTACCCTTCCTATAGGTTCGCCAGGAGTCAGAACTGACTCGATGGCAAGGAGTTTATTTTAATATATTAACAAGACATTTACAATTTGAAAACCATCATATAAAGTATTAGGGAGTAAGTTAAAAGTTAAATCCAGTTTAGTGTATTAACAGCTGGTCATTTATTTTTCAATAAAGCGCCAAGCACTGCTAATGAAAACTTTAAAAGTGTTAGCTCGCTCAATCTTTACACACCCTATAAGAGAGTTCCTCACATAAATCGTGAAAAAATTGAAGCACAGAATAACTCATTCACGTAGAGCAGGGAACTGCAAGAGCCAGCATCTGTACCCAGAAGATCTCCCTCAAAATTAACGTTCAAAGGTAAAATAGTAAGCCATGTAAGTGAATCAGATTTTGTCTAAAAGGGATATAAGAATATACACAGTGATATATTGATAGGGGTGCGTGGCTGTATGTGTACATATATAGTTATACATATATAATTACAATATGAAATCACACACACACAAATTTTTTAAACCAACATCAACCAAACTCTGCAGATGCCTATCTATCAATTCTAAGGTAGAATATTTTTATTATGACTTCACTTCATGAACAGTTAAAAGAGCCTTGTATGTTAATAAATGCATGTATCTTCCACAGTTACCTTTTGAAAAAGAAAACTGGAGGCTGTTTATTGCACTTCTGATATCACCAGAACATCCTTGACAAAGCAACTCCAGGGAAGCTTTATCAGGAACAGCAATTTTTCTTCCAAACTAAAATGAGAAAAAATAATCAAAAGCAAAGCAAAACAAAATACTTATCTTAAAAAACGCACCACTCCATTAGTCAGTTTGTCATATTGTGGCGGCTTGCATGATGCTATAACACTAGAAACTATGACATCAGTATTTCAAATCCCAGCAGGGTCACCCAGAGTGAGTAGATTTTGGTTGGTGGTGTTCTCTTACTTTTAAAAACTAGGAAGAAGGAATAGGGTGTCCACTTCTGAGAGATTAGGCATGAAAAAGCCTATGAACAGCAGTGAAACATATGCCTGACGTAGTGCGGGAAGATGAGGCCCTCAGGTTGGAAGGTGCTCAAAGTATCACTGGGAAAGGGGTGTCTCTCAAAATTAAGTCAATTCTAATGATTTGGATGCGGCAACACTTTCAGGGGTTTCATTTACTGATGGAGGACAACACAAAATGAAAATCAACAACTGAAAAAGCATGGCATATATCAGGTATGAATCTAGGAAGATTAGAAGCCATCAAAAATGAAATAAAATGTATAAAGATGGACATCC